AATAATAAGATTACAGGGTACTCCCTTTGAGCCAGGCTCTTTGCTGTGTACCATATATACATTATTTTACCAGGTTTGCTACACTACAGACCAATAAATTAAGAACTATCACCCTACTTTACAATGAGGAATCTGAGGCTGAAGGGGTTCTAGGACATGCCCAAGGTCACCCAGCAGGTGAGTGATGGAACTGGAGTCCAGCTCGAAACTGTCATGACCTCACAAAATATTCTTATATTCTTAGATTACAGAAATATTGTTAGATTACAAAATTAAAACACAAAAATATTGTTAGATTACGGGTATAGTCCTCTCAGATGACTAGCTACACAGACAGATGTTACACTGCTGGGTTTATCTCCAGGGAAATTATTCACACTCCCCACCGGAAACTAACAGGATCTGGAGAAGTTTTCACCAAGCTCTAGAGATAACCCGTGACCTGGAAAAGGGGCCTGGCACCGACCAGTCTTCATAGTCCTCTAGAAATGCACATGTCCCTTTCTCTACAGCTGCACAACTACCAGGGACGGATCAAATAGAGTGGTAGGTAGAACGAGGTCAGAATGCAGCCAAGACGTGTCAGTCCAGGTAGACGAGAAATAGTAAGTGAAATCTGAAAACTGTCTCAATGTGAAATAAATCCAATGGCAATTTCTTAAACTCAAGAGTCACTGAATTTCAGCCATCTCCAGTCTAGACATTGCATAGGAATGAATTCTTCCAAAAGGCAAATTTGAGAATTTAGTTATGTTACTTATCTTTTGAATATAATCTCCATAAAATCAAAAATAAAAACGAAAAGGATCTGCACTCACAGTAACTATCAGGCTGTAAAAAAATGAGATAACAAGAATACACTTACCTCCCCCATATTAAGCATGATAAATCCTTGATTTCAATGATGATGTACTTAGCACATTACTTTCCTTAAAATAAAGGTGTCATGAATCTTCACAGAATATGATTACCTGCATTGCCTTCTGTTCAAGCTGTTCTTGCCTTATTCATGGCAACACCAAACCCATTGATTTGGAGCCTCTGCTATGCTATTACTTTAAGTTTATGTTGTGGCTGTGGAGATGCTTTGATGCCTCCCTACTGCATGCACAGACTTTTTATTGCCCATCTGCTTAAGGGAATTGGACAAACAAAGTGAGTAACATCTGTGCTTTCCTCGGCACTGACTACCTAGTTGACTTCTGAGCATAATTTGAGGTGCTCAGTACTAACACGCAAAGCTGACTGCATTCTATTTGGTTAGGCAATCCTTCTTCCTGTGTTTCACTCTGGTCACTGAAAATAACTACCATGTCTTTTCAAACAGTTCCCATGGTCGTGGGGTAAATACACTGGTTTAACCTCCACCCTTTGGGAGTGTCCCAACCTTGTGTTGTTTCCTGAGAACCGGAAGCAGGTAGTTCCTAATCACATTTAGTACTGGAGAATTTCCTACTGTTTTATTTTATCAGAATAAAAGTTTCAGGAACCACTACTTTTTAAAAGAATTAAAATTAATTTCATTTCTAACAAATTGGAAGGATTCATGTACCATTCTTAAAACAGATAAAAGTGTTATTATGGATGTGACAATGAAAAGCAAAGGATACAACAATATAAGTGATATAGTCTCCTTGGGGGTAGTTCCCGACTTTCACTGGAGTTCTGCAGTATTGACAACAGAACACCATCAGGTGGGGCAGGGCCAAACAGACAAGGTTCCAGCTGTCCCCCAGCCATCCCTACCCCATCTGCCTTGACATTTACCTAGTCCGCAGCAGGGAGACACCAAATGACACCACACTGTTCTACCTTGGACGTTCCCAGATTTTACTTGAATAAATCATTATGAAGCTAACAATAATCTGAAAATGAGTGAAGGCAGTCAAAAGGCTAAAAAAAATTAATTAAATTAATAAAGAAAACCACTGTCCTATAAAAATGGTGCCTTTTAGTTGAGGGTAATAGACCTAACTCTAATATCACAATTATTTGAAAACATCAAAGGAAGAAACTAGAGGAGACTAAGTCAAACCGTATAAATAAATGTCCAGAGGCTAGTAAGTGTTGAATAGGAGAGTATATGACATTGATCAGATTTGGGAATTGATTATTAAACCTCCACAGAAAGTGCTTAGGACTAAGCATTTACAGCTTGGATTTAATCAGCAACTCCCAAAGAATACAATGGGTTTGCACATGGATGATTGTACATAAGCTCATTGGCTTTCCTGAGAATTAAAGAGACATTTCTTAAATGACTTGCCCACAAATACGGAGGAAAAATATTGGAGCTGAAACAGAAAAGCAACTTCAGGTGGGTCCTGCGTACACCTGTCTGTCCTATTATACTGCCTGAGGCCACCACTGTCCCGTTTGCTGGATGACTCTTTCTCACCTCCTCTCTCCTAAACCCCCCAAATCCCTCCTCTCCAGGCCTTAACTGCACTGGTAAATCTTTATTTGACTGAAAAAACAGAAACAATCAGCAAAGATCTTCCAGTTTGTCCAAACACATCCAACAACTTACCTCTCTCTCTACTCTGTAAGCTGTCTCCTCACCTGTTACTACAATGTTTCTCCTCCTCTTAGGCTAACACTTCACTTGAGCCCTGGATTCCATCTCCGCTGGTCCACACCAGCACTTTGCTCCAGCAATTTCTCCCTCTAGGTCAAGCTGGATCAATTTTTTCTTTTCTAGAATATCAGTCCTATCTATCAGCATATAGCCATCTCATACTATCTTCCATCTTAAAAAATAAAAAGCCCCCTTTAGCCCCAACATCCTCTCCTGGCTACCACCCAGTTTCCATCCTTTATAGCAAAACTATAAGACTAATTGTCTGCTTTCTCTGACCTTAGCTCTTTTCCAGTTATGTCTTAAACCCACTTCAATTGAACTTGCATCCCTACCCTGCGCTATAACTTTTCTCAAGATTGACAATAAGCAACACATCACCAGAGCATGCTCAGTCCTCATTCTGCCTTTACTTCATCTGTCCACACATTCAGCACTGTTGGTTATGCCTTTCTTTTAAAACATTCTGTTCATTTTCAGGACATCACTCTCTGAGTTCTCTTCCTAATCACTGGCTTTCCTTCTTAGGCCTTCTGCTGGTTCCTCTTCATCTCCCTTGTTTTTGAACTTGACCTGCAGCCCACTACTCAGGCATCTTCTCCTCAGCATTCGGTTCTTTAGCGATCTCATCCCATCTTATGATGCAAATATCATCTATATGCAAACCATTCTCAAGTTTGTATTTCCAGCTTAGATCTCTTATCGGAACCTGTAGATGTCTTAAACTTAGTTCACCCAAAACCAAAGTTCCTTTGTTCATTGTGTTTGTCCAGTCTTCTCCATCATAGTACAGTTTACTGGACATCTTTCCAGTTTTTCAGGCCAAAGAATTATCAATTATCTTTGACTTTGTTCTTTACCTCATGTCCTATATCCAACCCATCAATAAATTCTGTAAATTCTCTCTCAAAGTCTATTTAGAACCCAGTCACTTCTCTTTCTATCATCCTTTCTCTTCCAAATTCAAGTAGTTTCCACCCTTCCCCTAACCTCCCTCGTTTATTTTTGCCAAAGGAGCTACCGTCAAATCATGACAGATCTTTGCCCAAAGCTCACCACTGAGGCTTTGCATCTCTCTCAGAATGAAAGTCCCCTGCTATGACCTCAGGACTCCGCATGACGGCCCTACTGTCTCTCTGACCTCATCTTCTATCATGGATCCATTCCTTACTCTCGTTCTGGCCACACATTTTGGCAAACAAACATGGTCCTGCCTCACACCCTTTGTATATGCTGTTCTTCTGCCTGAAAAACTATCTAAAGGAGGAAACTTTTTTTTTTTCTGTTTTCTGCTCAAAAGACATCTTATCAGAGAGGCCTTACGTGACCATCATATTTTTTTAAATTCCACCCTCTGATCTTTGTCCCTCCTCACTACCTATATCTCCTTTACCCTGTTTTGTGCTCATCACCCTTATTACCATCTGACAGATATTGATTGGTTTATTGGAATGTTATGAGCATGGGCTCGGGGCGGGGGGTGGGGTACTTTGGTTGCTGGACTGCTGTTTTCTAGCTAGGCCTTATCCTCAATTCTCCATGATGTTTTCAGAAAAACATTAAAGAAAACTTGCAAGCAAGTCTCCCAATTTCTAACAGAATATTCAATATGAAAGTTGATAAACAACAGTCAAAACTGACTTTTTTTTTTAACCTCACCCCAGGACATTTTTCCATTTTTTGTTCAGGTAGAGTGGGAGGGAGAGAGAGAGAGAGAGAGAGACAGAGAGAGAGAGACAGAGAGACAGAGAGAGAGAAACATTAACATGAAAGGGACATATCGAGTGGCTGCCACCCGCATGACCAACCAGGGCCGGGGACAAACTGTAACCGAGATACAATCCCTTAGCGGGAACTGAACCCGGGTCTCTAGGGACCACAGGCCGATGCTCTAACCACTGAGCCTAACCAGCCAGGACAAAAACTGACTTTTTATCATGCATTTATTAGATTAAAACTAGGGGCATAAGAATGACATTTGGGCCACACCATCATGCAGTCACAGCTCTAAAATGCATCACCTATAATCTCCAACCTTATAAGCCAGATGCTTGCACATGTTTTGGGGCTCAGCCAAAACCAGTTACTAAGAGGAATAAGAAAAATAAAAAACAAACAAACAAAAAAACTGTCTCTCACTCTAAAAAAAGAACTTAAAGCAGGATAAGGAAAGAAACAGAGAGAGAGAAACAGGATCTGAAACCCTACCAGCTTTTCTCCCCATTATACAACATGTCTGGAAGTTTAATTTACATCCTATAATTTCAAGTTCAACACGCAATGAAATCACCCTTAACTTAGATATTTTAGGCTTATTTACACTGATATATTTCTTAACAAGTTGTGCAGAGAAATGTATCAGTAAAAGCATAAGAAAATGTAGCAAAACTTGCCCTCTACCAAAGGACATTTGTTTCCATACTTGTAGCAAGGGGACGATCTCTCCACGCACACAAACCCAAAGTAGCCTCGTTTGCCTCCAAGCCTGGAACTTTTCCGATGTTTATATTCACAGCAGGAGCTTAACCTGTTCACCTGCATCCCGTTCAGGTAAAAGGTGAGGCTGAAGGGGAAACCATGGTGCCTCTTGGAAATAAACTGAAAGGTCTCTGGAATTAAAAAGGACACAAATTAGTGAAAGCAACTGACTTATACATCCTAAATCACATTTTTCTATCACATAATCATAATATTATGATCTAGATCACCTTTTAACGTGGGGACAATTTCTTTTTTTTTTTGGTACGTGCCCCTAGCGGGAACAGAACCCAGGACTCTGATCCACAGGCTGACGCTCCAACCGCTGAGCCAAACTGGCCAGGGCTAACTTAGGGACAATTTTTTAATCATGAAAAAAAAGTCCTGCTGTTTTCAATTATTAAAAAAATACTCCAAGCCTTTATAAAACTGATTTGTTAAAAAATAATAATACCCATAATTTTATGAGCACTTACTATGGCCAGGCATTATGCCTGATCACCTTGGGTGTGTTACTTCTCGACAACAACATGAGGTGAAAATATTATCATCACTAGTTTCTAGATGCAGAAATTAAGGTTTAGAAAGGTTAAGTAATTTACCTCAAATCATACAGTAAGGAGGAAAGTTAGTATTTGAATCTAAACATCTCCTTACATTCCATGCCTCTATTGCTATGTTATCTATTGAAAATGTACATGACAAGTCCTGACCAGTTTGGCTCAGCGGTTAGAGCGTTGGCCTACAGTCCAGAGAGACCCGGGTTCGGTTCCGCTAGGGGCACATACCTCGGTTGCTGTTTGTCCCCGGCCCTGGTTGGATTGTGCAAGTGGCAACCACTCAATGTGTCCCTTTCATGTCGATGTTTCTCAGTCTCTCTCTCTCTCCCTCCCACTCTATCTGAACAAAAAATGAAAAAATGTTCTTAGGTGAGGTTTAAAAAAAAAAAAAAGAAAAGAAAATGAACATGACAAAGGGCTAGTGTGAACCCAATAATGCTTTTGAATAAATGTATATTTTTAGTTGTGACTTGAAACATCCTAATTCATACATGGATGAAGCAGATTTATTCTATCTTCAATTCATTCTCAATTCTGTCTGAATTTGAAAGACCCGTTTTTGCTTCCCCAACCACCCAAATGTCTCACCAATAAATTAAGAACCACTGTTTGCAATGAACAGTTTTTAATTATTCCAAGTCTTTATAAGGCTCTTTGAAAAGAGTCTCACCCTAGAGGTCCCAAACCCTATGTCTAAGAAACCACATTCCACAGTCTGGCTCAGAAACCTCCTTCTCCTGACACTCCCAATGTCACTTCCTACGAAGGAAGCCCCCCTGGATCCTCCACTCCACCAGAGACAGAGTTAACAATTCTTGCCTCTCTGCTATGTTCACCTTTCCTACTGTTGCACTAATTACAATATATTAAAACATGCCTACACCAGCAGTTCTCAAACTTGAGCATGCCTCAAAATCACCTGGAGGGCTTATTAAAACACAGAATCCTAGAGTGTCCCATCCAATGGGGCTCAAGACTTTGCATTTCTCTCAAGTTGCCAGGTGATGCTTATGCTGTTGGTGCAGAGATCACACTTCGAGAACCCTGATCTAGATGTTTGCTACCCTGCATGTCTGTGAAGTCCATGAAATTGGTCCCACTCGTCTTCCTTTCCCCAGATGCCAGGACAGTGGCACAGGAGACCTCCAATAAATAATTACTGAATTCTTATTTTAACCCATTTCTTTCACTCATCTAGAAATACTATTTCTTTACCACATTATGCCTATAATAAGAAATCTGATTCAGAAGATAATTCTGTCATTTACACCTTAGTATCTGTGATGTGAAATTACTCTAGGAAAGAAAAAACTGAAGAGAGAATGTCTGGGGAAACTAAGATGCAATCGATTTTAAAATACAATTGTCTTTATGATACAGGGGCTCCTTAGTGGTGAGTAGAAAGCTTTCATTACAGAAACTAGAATGGCGCATTCACGTGACATGACCCATTCTGGTGCAGCATCACACCAGAAGCACCCAGCCCAGGACAAGTGGACCCCAAGACGTGCTGAGAATGGGCACAGGACATCAACCTCTAGACATGACGGCTCTTCCCTCTGGAACTCATGTGACTGGGGAGCACGTCTACCTACTAAGTTCCATTTCCTTTTTCTTTTCTTTCTTCAAACTTGTTGAACAAGAATTGGCACCTTCTGCCTGTATTCCCTAGTTAATTCTTTTATAATTTTAGATTTTAAATGTCAGCCTGACTTCCCAGCCCTGATTTGATGGTTTCTACATGGAGTAGTGGAAAGAAGACAGGCCGAAGCTTTGCATTTCAGAATTCTCATCTATGAAACAGCCATGGCAGGAGCGGGCGAGGGAGTGGGGGGGAGGGGTGACCCCGCCTACCCACTTCACAGAGCCGTCTTAAAGATTACATAAGCTACAGTATTGGACCGCATCCTATAATATTTATAAAATGCAGTTACTCATTGTTGACTGACAATGAGTAGCACCATTTTAGGCACTAAGGAGAAACAAAAACAGTGGGGGAAAAAACACACATCAAATGTGTTCTCCTCCTTCAAGAACTTAGAATGTAGCAAGAGAGATGATACACCAGACTTCTGCCGTGAGGTCAGCAAATCCTCTTCCCTTAAAATGGCGTGTCTGAAAATGGACCAAAGACTTAAAATAAACTGAACAGCACTTATTCATAAAAAACTTACTGAACTTTTGGTAAGAACAGTGGAAATCTGAGGCTCCTTGCCTGGGGCTGCTCCCGTCCCTCTCGCCTGCCACCGTGTCATCACTGTGGTTCTAATGGGGCAGGGCAGGCCATAAATAACCCCCAGCTTCACTGTCAGCGAGCGCTGACTTGATTTGGAACAGAAGACAAAATAACCTTGGCCGGTGGCATTGCCACTAATAAGCAGCAGTCTCAGAGGCAAGGTGCCACAGAAGGACAGGAGTTTTGCTAGCCTGAAACTGCAGTGTTAATTAGGGCACGCAACGGGCCAGTGGATCGCTGGAATGTAACCAGGAGATGCAGATAATAAGGCAATCATAGATGCACTTGCAGGGGAGCAACATTTGCCACCCCAAGATGGGTCTCGGTGGCATAAGGATTATTTTAGGCTGATTATTTTTAGGAAACAAAAGACTCAAAGGACTCAAAAGAACTTTTGACACTCCTCCTAGCTGCCTAAAAGAAGTTAGAGGACCTGCTCAGTAAAGGAAATTATCATCACACATAACATGAGATTAAATAGAACTGGATGGGACAGACAGACAGGAACCTAGCAAGCCCCATGAGATAAACATTTTCTCTCTGTCCCATTGTTCGGTATGGCCCAGAAAGCATTTGTTTACCAAACATTAACTCTTTTCATCTACCTCTAAAGTGCCTTACTTCCCTTAGAAATTCCAGACCTCTCCTCCTTCTTCTTAGTCCTGAATGACATATATACCTCATCTTGCCCGTCTTTGGAATCTCTTACGTTTGTGTAGATTTCCTAACCATATATGTTAGATTTTCTTCTGTTAATCTGTCTTATGTCATTTTAATTATTCGACCAGCCCAAAGAAACAAAGAAGGGAAGGGGAAAATTTTCCCCTGCCCCACACATTCAGTAAGCTTTAGACACATTCTCAGTTACTGGGAGTGGCATGGATTGGAGTAGGCTCAACCCATCCCTGCATCCCTGGGTAACTGGGAGTCTGCAGCCATGAAGGAGACACAGAGAGCCTGGTTGGAAATCAACGCTGGAGCAGACTAGGAAACTGCCTGAACTTGGAGTGCGCTCTTGAACCTACTGTAGCAGGTCGAACATGGCCCTCTAAAAATTCATGACCACCCAGAACCTCAGAATGTGGCCCAATTTGAAAATAGGGTCTTTGCAGATATCATTAAGTGAAGGATCAAGATGAGATCATCCTGGATTTGTTTTGTCCTCATTCCAATGACCAATATCCTTATAAGAAGAGAAGAGGACACACAGAAGCATGGCATGTGAAGACAGAAGCAGGGGTTGGAGGGATGGAGTTACAAGCCAAGGGTTGCTGGAAATCACCAGAAGTTGGAAGAGACAAGGAAGTATTTTCTCCTAGAGCAATGGTTCTCAACTCTGTAGGTCGCAACCCCTTTGGGGGTCGAATGACTCTTTCACAGGGAACCATAGAAAAACACATATTTCCGATGGTCTTAGGGACCGATACACCGCTCCTCTATCCGTCTCCAGGCGGGTCCGCCCATATGCAGATTCGCCCACACAACATGAGGAACTGCATTAAAGGGCCCTAGCATTGGGAAGGTTGAAAACCACTGCCCTAGAGCTTTTAGGGGGAACATGAACCTGTTAACACCTTGGCTTTAGACTCGTGGCCTCCAAAACTGTAAGAGAATAAATTTCTATTGTTTTAAGCCATCAATTTAGGGTACATTTTTATGCCAGCTCAGGAAACAAATATACCCACAAACTTGCACGAGGTAGAGGCTTTATTGGCTCAAAGTGTTTGAATATGACCTTCGACAAATTACTGGATGATCATTGAACTACAAAAACACAGAGATAACCCCAAGAGACTAGCCTAAAAAAATGAAAAATGGAATTTAAAAAGGAGATGAGCAGAGACATTACTGGCTGTATATCATGAAGAGAGAGAATGAATTTCACAGAATTGGTCCAGATAAGTTACCAAACAAACAACAAAACAGCAAGAACATGCCCAGCCAGTGTGGCTCAGTGGCTGAGCATCAACCCCTGCACCAAGAGATCGCTGGTACGATTCCCAGTCAGGGCACAAGCCCAGGTTGCGGGCCCGATCCCTAGTGGAAAGCATGCAGGAGGCAGCCAATTGATGTGCTCTCTCATCGATGTTCCCATCTCTTTCTCCCTCTCCCTTCCTCTCTCTCTAAACAATAAAGAAAAAAAAATTGTTTTAGACAAACAAACAAGAAAAACAGCAAGGGAGGAAAACATCAAAATCCAGAATCCACAGTTGCTCTAATACATGATCTAAAATGTTCGGTTTTCATAAAAAAGTAAACACACACACACACACACACACACACACAAAGAAAGAAACAGGAAGCTGTGGCCCATACTCAGGGAAAAATAAAAACCATCAAACTCATTCCTAGGATCTACTCAAGAGAAAGAAAAACTAACGTCTACATAAAAACTTGTATTTGTATATTTCTAACAGCACGATTTATAATAGTTGTAAAAATGGAAACAATACAAATGTCCATCACCTGGGATGGATAAATAAAAGATGGTACACCCATGTGATAGAAAATGTGTATTCAGTGATATAAGAAGAGAGAAGTTATGGATAGATGCAACAAACGGATGACTCTCAAAAACATTATGCTAAGTCAAAGAACAAGTCACAAAATACTACCTATTGTATAGCTCCATTGGTGAGAAATGTCCAGAAAAGGCAAGTCTGCAGAGACTCACAGCATGCCAGAGCTTTCCTGGGACTGGCTATGTGAACAGAAACTTGCAGAAGTGGTGGAGAAATTCTAGAACTGGTTTGTGATCGATATTGGCTGTACAACTCTACAAAATTCCTAGATGCTAGTGACACGTACACTTAGGATAAACGAATGTTACAGAATATAAGTTACAGTTCAATAAAGCAATTTTTAAAAAACACACAAAACGTCAATATATGGTAAGAGTAAAAGAGAAATAAGAAACAATTAATATAAGGCCAGTACAATGAAATGCTTTGGTTTTAAGTGTAGAATAAGAGCCGTAGCCATCGAGAGATGGATAAAACAGAACAGAACTCGAGTGAGAAAGTGTCACAGCTTTATTCTGAATCTTAAAAGAAGGGGAAGATTTAAATTTTAAATCCTATTTTGAATTTAAAACCCATTGTTCTATTGAAGACAAAGGAAATATCATACGAAAAGACAAGAGAACAAAATCGGGGGGCAGGGAGGGGTACTGCAGATGCACAAATAGTTACAACAGAATCAGGTTTGGAAATACAAGATAATGGGGCAGAAAAGGAAGCGATCATAAGAGGGCCAGAAAACAGTTCCTTTGTTCTTTATATCCACGTGAACCCAGGAGGCCAAGGTTTGCCTTGTTTGTAATGATGAACACAGCAAATTGAACTGCTTGTGGAGAACTGCATTCCTCACAAGTTGCAGAAATTTTTGGTGACTTCATAGGTGTACATAATGAATAATCAATGTGTGATTTGATGTCTAAAATCAACCTCGAGACATCATGAATTTCTATGGGAATAAAAGATGCACTTGCCACACTATTAAATAATTAATTTTATTGTTATTTCTCATCCCAAAACAAGGCGAGTTAATGAAGGCCACATTTTTAATGAGTTTATGGCTCTAAGCATAACATTAAATGTGGTTTTTTTTTTAAACAGAAATCTTCTAAAAACCTATTCACATTTCATTGAATCTTACACAGCTTTGATTTTTATAAAGGGCAGATTCTTTTCAGTTCAGCTAAATTGCTAAGATTGCTGAACCACAAGTCAACTCTGAAGATTGCTGAACCACAAGTCAACCCTTTGTTATATTGGAAAAAAATTAATATTTAATCCCTGAATATGTATAGTTTCTCTTTAAGTACTTTTCAATTTTGAATAATTACTTTCCTGGCAATCAAGGACAAGCTGAGACAAAATTATTGTGTGGACAGGATTCAATTATTTATGTCCCCATTCCATCCTATAATTCAAGACTGTCCAATGACATAACAAAAGACAGTCCCAGGGCCAATATGAATGCAAAATAACACTTAACCAAGTAACACTCTCTCATAACCTTTGGTTGTACAAGCTAATCACAGAGTGTATATTGTCTTCCAGGAAATCATTCAGCTAAGTCTTTTTTGTTTCCATTTGTATGTACCATGAGTGCTCTAAGACACAGGAAAAGTTTCATTTTGTTAATTCCAACTTTAGACTATAGCTAATTTCAGCAATTCTAAATTAATATTTGAAAGTTATACTTTTAAAAATAAGTGCAACATTGGTTCTTATCAGGTAGGCTGACTTCCAAAGTACATTCAGCCTGGTCACTCTGCCGGTCAAATGACAGTTACTCCAATGGAGATCAATAACCCATATACGCCTCTCACTTAGCCGGAGACTTGTTATTTAGCTCTTTGTGCTTTTGTAAAAAGATACTGTCCAAAGGTTGATGTGGGTGCTTAGGGGCAGTTTGAAAAAATTTATTTATGAAAAACAAAACACAATAATTCGTGTAAGAATAACAGAGATACAAAGATACGGATTTTTAGGAGACAGTTCTGGATAAAGATGTTCATGATTGTTTTCTAAAGGTTATGTGTATAAATAGAGAGAGGGAGGAGCTTCGACTCTGAGTTGGGGACTGTTTTGGGCTTGTTACTTGAATAGACTACCATGGCTTTCAAAGTATTGAATGTAAAATTATTCTCAGTTTTATTTTTGAATGACCAAATGAGTGTATTCCTCGAGGTATTTTACTTAACTGTCTTACATGTGATTGTCCTCTTATATACAGTACATCATAAGTTTCCACTTGAAATAAATATTTTGAAAGAAAAAAAAAATAAGTGCATGTATCTATGGCTCTACCATGAGCAGTTTCATATCCATCATATCATAAAAATGTAGAAAGCTACTGAGAATAGATCATTGGAGCTAGATAGTTCTAATCAAAGGTCACCTTGGGCAAGAGAAACAAAGGAAACATTAATAAATGGGACTACATTAAACTAAAAAGCTTCTGCACAACAAAAGAAACCAGATTCAAAATGAAAAGGGAACCCACTGTCTGGGAGAGCACATTTGCCAATGATATATCAGATAAGGGGTTCATTCCAAAATATATAGAGTGCTCATACAACTCACCAAAAGGAAGAGAAACAATCCAATTAAAAAATGGGCAGAGGACCTCAATATAAATTATATATTTGTTATAAAGTATATCATATTTTTATAAAGTTAAATATTAGATATTTTACTTTGAATTGAAATTAATATTCAGGTGTCTACCCTTTGTTATATTGGAAAAAATTAATATTTAATCCCTAAATATGTACAGTTTCTAAGTACTTGAATTTTTTTAAAGTAACATTATGGTTTTCTTAATGAGGGGAGAGAGAAAAACCAAAAGTAACAACTCTAAGTTTTCCCCCAACTCTTCCCTTAACCCCTAAGTCTGTATCAAGATTACCCACATATAAATATTTATTTTAATTAGTGAAAACTCTATTATTTTCTAAACAGAGTTTCTCAAGCAAAGATATCAGAAACACAGGGCTGGGCAAAAGTAGGTTTACAGTTGTTTGTGTGAAAAACTGAAAATTAATTAATAAAGAATATAAGAATAAACTCTGTTTTGTGTCCTCATAACTGTAAATCTGCTTTTGCCCACTTCTGAATAATCCTGTAACAACTCTGCCTTTTAATCACTGTCCTGCAGATTAAATACTGACAAAAACCACTTCAGTAAAATATGTGAAACACTATATAAAATATAAAAATTATTTTATGCTAATCAAGGGAGCAGAGTTTGCCACCAAAGTATGTCTTTTGGGGATATTGATTGTCTTTTGAAGGCCCAGGGCTGGACAGGAGTAGGGTGGAGGGGGACAATGGAGGACAAAAGAAGGGGCATCTGTGATACTTTCAACAGTAAAGATAAATTTTTTTTAAAGACTCAAGAAGAACCTTTGACCTTCACCCTTACTGCCTAAAAAAATTAGATAGATGACCTGTTCCAGGAAGGGGGCTCTCACCATAAATCACTCTAACATATGAACTAGGTGTGGTGGGGGACACTGAATAGAGCTTAAACATTAAAGTTCATCCTGTGTCCTCTTGTCTCCACATGGCCCAGCAAACATTTTTTTTTTTGCTTACTGAACATCTGCTTTTCTGTCTCCACGTGAATTGCCTTCCTGCCCTTTGAATCCCAGACTCTTATGCCTTCTCCTTAGTTCAGAAAGGCACATAAACCTCACTGCCCAACTTGTCTCTGGGCCCCACATTCTTCTGGAATTCCTCGTATGTATGTGCATAATTAAATTCGGCTATTTTCTCTTGTTAATCTAGCTCATGTCAATTTAATCCTTAGACCAGCTAGAACTTAAAAGTGTAGAAGAAAATGTTTTCCTCCCCAGCACTAACAAACATGGACTTATGATAAAGTGAAAGTGGAAATGTACTAAATGCATTTGGCTAAATTCTGCACCACATTATTTAGGTGTGATTCCCCCTAAAGCTTATTGGATTTGTGATTTTTATCCCAGCATACTTCTAAAGAACAAATTGCCAATCTAGTATTTTTCTCTTAGAATAATAATGTATGATATAATTCACTATGGCAAGCCAAATAATTAACTTGTAATTTGGGGGACAGTTTATTCGTGCAACATTTTAATGATCATATATCTCTATCCCCAAATTAATCTGTTACTGAGTTAAATCATTCCTAATTTTTTCTTTCACAATCTGTAAGAGTAATTGCTGCTCCAGTTTTAATCATGGAGCAGTAAATCCAGATTTGCTGCGAAGCAGCTGGTTTATAAGTCCCTGGATATGCATAATTTCATAGAGAAATTGAAGTCATTCTGATATCAACAATAGTTTATCTATAACATTAACTTCAAGCACTTAAAAAGAATTCACATTTTATGTGTACCTTTTTCAAGTAGGTTGCCTTTGTAGACACAAAGGTTTTCCCCACCACAGTGCTGTTGATAAACTTTTACTTCATCCGTGAAGTTTGGGTGATTATAAGATAGGTGCACAGTTTTCCCCAAGTAGATCATTGTAATAATTGCATTACTATGCAATGGTGTTTTATTAATCCTTCTTGAATCCTGGAATAAACAAAAAAGGGGGCTTATTAACTGATTACCCGCTAATCAGTGTGTGATGACATTGTAGTATAAAGAATAGAAAAGGTTATTTTTCGGTACCTAGAACACAACCTTTAAGAAACAGCAGGCTACAAAGGGCACAAAAAGTGAAACCAGTTACAAAATATATCTAACAGTTATAACATATACATTTTGGCTTCGTATTTTTTTACTTTTTTTTTTTTTCTTTATTGAGTAGAGAGAGAGGAAGGGAGAGGGAGAATTAGAAATACTGATGACAGAGAACATTGATTGGCCACCTCCTGCATGCCCCCCCCCACCCCCGAGGATTTGGCCCATCACCTGGGCATGTGCCCTGATTGGTAATCAAACTGGCAACCCCTTGGTGCATGGGTCGATGCTCAACCACGGAGCCACACAAGCCAGACAATGGCTTTGTATTTTTAATTCAATGCTGGGGACTTTGACAAAATTTGTCACTTTTTATTTTACATGTGTGCACATGCATGCGTGTTTTACATACAACCATAATATCATGGATGCTAAGAGAAAACTGCTTTGTGCTCTTTTAGTTGGTTTTCAAAAAAAACCTATTATTTAATCAAATTGATTAAATAAATATTGGTGACATGATTTTGTTCTCATTTGAACTGACATCAACCATGATTTAACGACTATTTTGTAATTGCTTCACACTTGCACACTGTCGCCTGATGCACACATTTGATTCCTTCTGTGGTCACTCTGAGGATTCAGGACAATGTATGTTCTGTGCCTGGGATTATCCAACATTATCCTGGGAACTCAATGAAAAAAAAAACCAACGTTATTAATATTACTTTAGATATCAAATATATCCAACAACAACAAAAAATCACCTCATAAACCTATCTGGTATTTTCTGTTGTTGACCGATTTAAAAAATTTATAAAATAAGCAAACTTAAATGCCAGAGATTAAAAGCCATGCCCTATTTCTTAGCTTCTACTTTATATAGTCTAAAGCGGTTTCGCAGGAGTGAATGGGCATAGTGATTGCCTAACCTTTATGAGGAAGATGCAGAAAGACGTGGAAAAAGGAAGAGGGCTCGCTGGGAGACTTTAACAGGGTCTGGCAAGAATATTTTTGGCTTCTATCATCATACAGGGTCCAAGCATTTGTTTTAACCTTCTTGACATTTCTAAAAATCTATTGTTAGCTAAATGAAAAATGTGAAGACACCAACTTTGAGTGAATCCAAGGCAATTATTTGAGTTTGATGTCATTGAAGTATGGATGCCTTGGAAGCAAGCATTAAAAAAAAAAAAAAAATCAAAGTTGCAGTAAAAATTTCTGAAGTAACTACTAAAAATGTTCCATCTCCAAACCCAGCTCGTTCCACCTCAGAGGATTTTTTTTTTCCTCCTTTGATTCTTTTTCTCTGAAGCAAACACCAGAGGAAGTTAATCTGGTAAATAAAATTCTACAAATAAACAGTCCGAAAGTATCGTTAGGGGGGGGAGTGTGAGGTTCACAATGTAAGCAAGTTGTCTTGCCTGTCGACACACAGAGTTCCCAAACAGAAATATTTCAGGGACATCAAGAGCCACGAAGGTAAGTTGGCAAACTGGATCATTCTTTGCAGATTAGAAACACCTCCGTCCCGGAGTCACAGTGGAAAGCAAAGGGATGACGTGCCAGCCTGGCTCCTAAATTGTGCCATTTTCCTCCCGCCTGGGCAGCTGTGACTCACATGTGCACAGCCCAGTGCACAATCACCAGCCTAAGGCAAGGCCAGCTCCAGGCTCCCACCAGCACATTTCCTGACATGACGGATGAACCGAGCGCATCCCCTTGTGCTAAGCAATACTTTTGAGAGTGGCGTGGATTCAGAGGCTGCCTGCGAACTGCTGGTCGATAAGCCCTACGTAAACACAAGGTAATCGTGGGATTGGTGCGAAGGAGAGCCTGCCTCGTGTGTGCAAACTGAGAACTGGATGGGAGAACATTTCAAAATAAAGAAAATGACACGCTCCCCCCTTCTCATTTACTCTTATTCATATTCTTTTCTGCTAAAGTGTATTCATGATGGCAACATCTCTCTTCTCCTGGGTCTAGCTGTTTGATTCCTTTTAAAAATATTCCCCAGTCCTGGCTGGTTTGGCGAGCAGTTAAAAATATTCCCCAATTATTGCCACCAAGTAACCTTTTCTGGGTTCTAATGGGACGCCCAAGTGGCACTCCTGATGAAATAGGTGTGCTAGGAAATGAGCAAGTGTTTCTCTCAGTTGACGGTCTTCCAAGGTCATGATAGGCTGATGAAACTTCAACAAGCTTTCATGGCCCTCTCTGCTATCCTCAAGCAAGAGTCAAAACCATCCGGGAAAATTCAGCTCCACTTTAAAACAGCAGCAAGTCCTCGTGGGCCTGCAAAACTAAGGGTTTTCTTTCCGACTTCCTCCTCCAATCGCTTACAATTTTCCTTCTCATTTCTTTTCAGATTTCTCAGCCAAGAACCATCTTAGCTGACAAACAGCAAGACCATTGAGTGGTTAACCAGTTAGCCGTTATATATGTGTAACATTTAGCATTCAAGTGATATAGTAAATGATCCCTGGAGTCTCTTGTATCCCTGCCCATAGAAGAGGTTTCTCTAGATATCAGTGTCTGTACTTGTTGACAGTGTTGGGCAGCAATTCCTTTCCATCCCCTTAGCCAAGCCCTGAAGAACTCTGGACATCATAAAATCTTACTTGGACTGCTGCAATAAACTTCTAGTTAGGAGGGTAACCAAAGAATTTATCATCCAAACTAGGATATATGCTAGAAAAAAATGAGCATTAATTTGAACAGTTCCAGGAAAGCTGAGATGTATGCTTACCCTACTAATTGGTTTCCCCACTTCCAGCCTGGTGTCCCTCAAAATCTCTTTCCCCCGGGATCTCAGAGTGGTCTGCTGTCACTAAACAGATTATGTGACTTTCCTGTTGATGTCTTCCAATGATTTCCAATGTCCAGGAGACAATGTCCAACACTCCTCAGACAACATAAAACGTCTCCTGTTCTCTAACCTCTACTGTCTCTCCATGGTGGCAGTTTCTTGTGTTACATGTAAAGGCCCAGCAGTCGAACTAATTGCAGTGACGCAAACACTACCAACCAGTTTTTAATCTTCAGACGTATATAACTGTATGAGTCACATGACATTAAAATTATTTCCTTGTATTCCTTTCTCTCAGTAGGTAAGAATAGTGTCTTGCCTATTTGCATGCCCCCAATGTCTTGCCAGTGTTGGCACCTAGTAAGGGCCTAATAAACACTGGTCTGAATGGACACAGACACGGAACTACCGAGCATTCCAGATTCTGTCCTTTGCGGAGGCAAGGATATTAGTTGGTTGACAACGCCCTAAATCAAAAGCTTTCTACATTTATAGGAATTCGATAGGAATCAGAATATGAAAGTTGACTCTATTAAAGAAAGCACCACTTGTGATGAAGCTTTGATAAAGATGAACAAAAAGCCTGACCATACAGTGTCACGCAGTCCCCATGTTGACTCTGATGGCCTTAGGAAGGAAACGTTCTGACAGGAGCCAGAAGAAGAGTGTTCCAGTGCTCACATCCGAAAGGTTCAGGGAGCAGCTGGTTATGATGGAAACACAGGACCCTCGGTATACTCATTTGGTTCTCTTCCTTCTCGTCTTATTCACCGGTCTTTCCTTGCCCTTTCCTCCTGCCTCCTTTGCTTTATTACGCTTCTTCTTATCATGTTCCTCTTGCCATTTCTTACTACTGTGTAACGTATCACATGCTTATTCTACTGAAGGCCCCGGAGCTCCAAATCGCGAGGATGCTGAGTTGACAGTCTTTCCTTCCTCATGTCCCTCAACAGCATACATTCAGAAACTCTGCTAAGAGCTAGACATTATCCAGCTGCAACTGGCTTTGGGTGAAAAGGCCCCTCAGTCTGCCCATCTTAGTAAAGGGGCCTGGCCTGAACCCCAGCTGCTGTGTACTCCCAGATGCAGCTCTGGTTCTTCGTTCTCCCAGGGTTCGGTTCCACAGTGCCATCTGCTAAGAGACGGGGACTGCGGAATTGGATTTTTTAACTGTTTTTCGAGTCCTTATAGTTATGTAGTCCCTAAACTGCAGTGCCAATTTCAAGCAGAAACATTGTTTAAAGTAAAGTGTTGGTCTGAAATAAATCAGTCCTACTATGAGATATGTTGATTTAGCATTTATTAAAATCATGCTGTTTCCCTTTTTCATTTTTAAATCTCAGTCCACCAGTGAGAAAAGCCAAAAGACTAAAACATACCATAATAATGCATTAATTAAAATGGAAATTGAAAAATTTTTTTTTTTTAAATCCTCACCTGAGGATATTTTTTCCTTTTATCTTCAGATCGGGGGTGGGGGAGAAGGGCATCAACATGAGAGAGACACATGGACTGGTGTCCTCCTGCACAACCCTGACCAGGACCCAGGGCCAGGGACAAACTACAACCAGGTACATGCCCTTGACCGGAATCAAACCTGCAACCTGTTGGTCCACGGGCCAATGCTCTAACCACTGTGACAAACCAGCCAGGGCGAAAAACTATTTTTAAAATTAATTCAAACAGAAGAAATGTGCAATTTCTCTAGCAAAGCTAATATTTTTTAGGCTTTATTTGTTGTTGGAGAAAAGGAGTCTATATCAGAAAGGCATAATTGATTTCCATGATATTTACCTCAGCTAGAAAGTATAATTAAGAGTTTATTTTTTCACACAGAGAATAAAGCAATACTGTTTATGAATATAGTACTAGTAAATATTTGATTAAATGTAAATAAAACCAAATGCTTGCCCTCAAGAAGCTTTATAATCTAGAAATAGAAGTAAAGAATAATGAATGTGCCTGGCCGGTATGGCTCAGTGGTTGAGCACTGACCCATGCACCAAGAGGCCACCAGTTCAATTCCCGGTCAGGGCACATGCCCAGGTTGTGGGCCAAATCCCCAGTGTGGGGCATGCAG